TTATGTCAATATGGACCAAAGTTTCCAGCCCCTGCTGAATCTGTGCCACGGAACTAGCAAGGTCTATCTAATAAAGTGGCTAGTGAGTGTATCTGTCAAGGTTGTTGCCACTTGTCACGGTTTGGTGCTGTGACGGACAGGATGAGGACCCAAATAGAAGGGTGAACTTAAAGAAGCAGCTTTATTGCACTGTGCAGACACTCAAAAGATAAACTCAGGACAAATTAAACTAAACCAGGAACTAAGAACTGAAACACTGGAAAACTAGGAACAATGAACTTAGAGCAATGGAAACCGGAAACACAAAGAAACTCGCACAGCAGATGGCATGGTACAACACGGCAACAAGCCGAAGACTGAGGACTAAAATACACAGGCAGGATGACGAGAGGATGGGGAACAGGTGGAAACACAGCTGGGACTAATCAGACATAATAAGACAGAAGGAAAGCAAAACTCAGAACACTGAACACAGGACACAAGACTATCAAAGTAAAACGGGAAACAAGAGATATCCACAAAGACACAGACTTGACACTGACTGAGGAGATGCAGGGAACAAGGAACACAGAGTAGAGAAACAGAAAACAAGAGACTAGAATGAAACTAATGAAATCAAAGCCTTTTAATAACACAAAAACACTGGGTAACTGACCCAGGTACGACTATGCTATTACTAGATCCAGCAGTAGATCCTAAAAAGTAGCCTAAAACCATGTAAAAGTTTTGCATTCATTTTTAAGTAATTTTAAAAATAAACTTTTATTTGTCATGAACACATAAGGTTGTATAACCAAAATCTTCTTATCGTCTATTCATGCTTCTCACAAAATGCTGATGCTAAAGACATATATAATAATAAACGCTGTTTTATTGGGCACTCTTCTGAATGAGGTTACGAGGTGGCTTCCAGACAGCAGTTCAGTATGTGAGGCTCTGTGAGTGTGTTTGAATCATAGGTACACAGAAGGGAGAGAGGGACAGCCTGTGTTCTATAGCCATCCCAATAACTGCAAGCCATAGGATATTTCACAACTTTGAGTTCAAATCCAATAACTGCAACACCAAAACACAGGAGACATTATCACTGGAAGTTCCTTACACTCATTCTGAACTGGAGCACTTGTTTCCTTCCTTCCTTAGCATTCTTGTACTATGCTGCATCCAAGCTTGAAGACACATTTGTTCCATTAGTAAAGCTTTAAAGTTGCATGAATGCAGTTGTGAGTGTGATGGTATTTCTAGGTGAATGATCTTTATTACTGGTATCTTGTGTTTATGTAATTTGTCCTCATAAGAGAGCTTGACATCAGTAGCATTTTCTTAATGTGTGAGGCTAACTAATTGCATGCATGGCATTATGATAAAGACACAGGAGAGCAGACTGTTTCATTTTAACACAGTAATGACTTGGAAGGTTAGCATTACTTGTAACAGGTTAAATTTATACTTTGTTAACATTTTTCCTATTTTGCAAGAGAGGATAAGTGATAGTTTTGGCTTTTTGTGGAGGGTAACTTCCCCAACTCCAATAAAAAGAGGTCAGTTACATGAATAAATTCTGATGTGGCAGCATCACGGACTATAACTACAATTGATGTAAAGTTAATGGTGTTTATAGACTACCTCTACAGTAGCAAACATCCTTAAAATATGTTGTTTATGCCATTCCTTAAAATTTCAAGAGCCTGCCATGAAAAGTCACTGATGCTAAGCTCTGATTGTACATTTGCTTTTTAGAGAGGGGTTTACTGAATTTTCACTTGCTTCTAGAAGTTCTTCAGCAGAATGATTGATTGCATGCTTGCTTCAAGCAAGTCTAAAATTCCTCATCTTTATCTTGGAAAAAAAAGAGTGATTTTGCCACCACCTTTGTCCCTTTTTCCCTTCTGTTTTCGCCCCTGCAGGACACCAGGAGATAGATGACAGAAGTGGACACAATGCAGTAGAGGTAAGTGCCTAATAATAGGCTTATGTCCCAAACAACAGGTAAGTGAGTGCAGTGAGAGTCTTTGCAGTGGCAGTATCGAGGTAGGACAAGATAAACTCAGGAGTATCTTTAGGATTAGAGGCGTCAAGCAAGTGTGGGTGAAGAGTGCGTGAGAGAACGAGTGCTGCTGGGTAACGTGCAGCGGGCATGTGAGGTAACCCAATCAAACAAAATATTAGATAAAAGGACTCCTTTGTCGTTTAAAAATTAAATATGATGGCTCGAGAGAATTAATACACTCACAGCGGTCAGAGCAGGTTGTCCTCATGCTGAAAACACATCAGGCTTAAATATTATCTGGAAGCCAAAAAAAGAAATAGGTTGTAATTAGTTTCGCAAGCTCAGGCAAAAATTGTGACTCCTTTGGGGCCTTTCAAGAAAACGAAGGAAAAAAAAGGCTGGGGAAAGCTGAGGACATGTGTGAAATGCATTTACTGTGTGTGTACCCGCATGCAGCATTGAGACCTTAATTAACACAGCAGCATGCAGGCGGATAATTTTAACGCTCATTTGACCTGCAATGGTCACCTCCCCACCCGTTTGCCAGACCTCATTGGGGAGGGGGACCTCTCGTGTGAACATTTTGTGCAAGAAACACAGGAAATGGAACTACACAGTAAGTGTATCCTTGAAGCATCAGGTGACCTTTATTAGCCTCTCTTTTTTGTGGCTCTGGAGTTTAGGCTTGGATTGAAAAGTCAAATACACGGGGTCAATTTGACATTCAGTGGCTGTTTAATTCCACACAGCCACTGGTAATATGTTACACTGTATGTCTTTTGCTCAGGTGCTGGCTCAAGCAAATATAATTCATAAGTTCTATCAGATGCTTCATAGTCATAATAATGAACTATTATCAGCTTTAATTTGAAAACATGTGCAGTCACATCATTGGCGTTATAGATTCCAGAGTGCTTGTGATACAAAAGCCATTCAACAAACTAGCAAGAAAAAATTAGAGTGCAAATCAAATTATTATAATTATTATAATTAAGATTTTAGCTGGAGTAAATTTGGACATACTCCAATCCCAACAATATTTTTTTTTTTTCATCATTTCTTTGCACAGGGTTGGCTTCAGGTCATTCTCGTTCCATTTTTTTTCTTTTGTGTGCCTCAGGTCAGTTCTACCCCAGGTCAATCTTCATGGTTGTCTGAACTACCTTCACCAGCCATCTTGCTCTCTGCCATCCAGCCTACAGTAGCCTAAATGTCAGGGGCTGGTGGGGAGCCACTAGCTGTCCAAACACATTTATCTCAAAAACCAGGAGGGTCCACTCCAAAAAAGCCTCTTTATACTAGAGGCAGAAATCTAAGGATAACAAATCCTGCGGCAAGCTTTTAATCTTAGATTTGATAAGGTGATGAGATTCTAATGTTACTATCTGCCTCAGAGCAGTGACAACAAGCCGACTGTGTTGTTACAAAATGGCTGTAAAAATAATCCAGGTCTTTGTATGATGCATAGAGTGAGAAGCAGGGTATACCCTGAACAGATTACCAGTCTGACGCAGGGCTACTGATGCTGATCTGAGCCCAAAATTTTGGATTTGTTACTCTATAAGACTTTTTGCCACCTCTTGTCGCTTTTGCACCAAGCTGCTGGACTTGTTAAGTGTAGAAGAACCAGATGTAAAAATCCAAATCTCTAATTACACCTGCTGTAAAATAATGGCTTTAGAGCCCAAAGACAAACTTGTGCTTAGTACAGATACATGCAAAGGCATCCTTTTGGGCTTAAACTAATGAGCTTTTTGTTATTTTTGACTAATTTGGACCATCTGTTGAAAAAATCTATTTTTTTCTAAGAAAAAAAACTTTTGAAAGGCACAAGAAAGTCATTTAAATCCTTCACTCTTTATCTGAAGTGATTTAGAGCTCACTGATACTGTATGGTAAGTCATCAAGAAGAAGTGACTCTTGGCACATTCAAAAGGAGAAAATGTTAATCGAGTTCTTTCGCACAAGAGTCACACCAGCTGCTTTAAAAGAAGGGACGAACACTATTGTAAGACCTTTCTAACCTTAAGATACTTCAACTTCAAAGACTATTATATTCACACAGCCAGCATTCTGAAGAGGTTTGGTGGTAAAATATTTTCTGATCGACACATTAAAACTGGAAGCATATGTAAATAGTTGCGCTGTGGTTAAGAAGCTCAAAATACATGTAAAAAGTCCCAAATTCTTAATATACACTATTATACACTTCCATGTAGGAGACTATGTACTGTGATAAAAGTCTTGAGTTATACCTTATTTCTTTATATTTTGCTTCCAAGCAGAAACCTAACTCCACCACATAACTCAAGGAATGAATCAGTGTGTGTCTGCATATAATAGACAATTTTAAAGAACCAATTTTAAATGGTATCTTTAGGCACTTTGTAGCCTGTCAAAGCATAATTTGTTCTTTGTTCTTTAGCTGAAATCCATGAAAAATTCCAATGATATCGCATGCCTTTTATCCCCTGGAGAGCAATAAAATAAATTTTTGCAGTGATTCCCAAAGTACTTTTTGCCAAAAACGTGCGATATACTGTAGTATGTCCAGAAAAAATATTTGAGAAAAAGGTCAACCAAAGACCTGACAGAATTGTGTAACTGTTAGACAGAAAGCACATGTGTAGAAAAAAGTGCTGGTGTGAATGAGCCAAGTTGTACAAAGCAGCGCCAGTCCAGTTACTATGTACCTAGGTTAGGAGACAGACATAACAGTGACTTTCTGCATGTGAAATATGCTGGAGGTTCTTTAATGGTCTGGGGCTGCATTTCAGCTAGTGGTGTTGGGGATCTCCAAATTTTGATTCAGCATGCAATCCCTTCTGAAATGTGCCTCATTGGCATATAGCTTCATTTTCATATATAGCTTCAGTATGACAGTCATCCCAAACACAGCCGATGCATTTAAAGCATATCTGATTGAAAAATCACACGATGGAACTCTTAGTCATGGATTGGTCTCCCCACTGCCTGAACCTTAACATTGTTGAAGCAGTGTGGGATCATCTTGACACAGAACAAAACAAAAGGGAGCCAACATCCAAATAAGAGCTTTCAATGTCCTTTAAGACCCCTGGAGAACTATCACTGAAGACTCGTCTAGCAGTCCACCCTACTTCCACGCTCAAATGTTAGATTTATATGAGTACACCATCGGGGTACTTTTTGCATTAATTATGTCCACCGTACACAGTTTGCATTTCAGATTGTGCTCAGTTCCTTGAATTTCTTGCCATATGTTTTCGGAGATGCACATCTCTGAAAATCCGAGATGTTAAACAATTCTGTAAGTAAGCTGCATAAAAAAGATAGTAAAGGAAGAGAGATAAAGGCGAAAAAAGCTGAGGGAAACTGCCTATAGAAATCAGAGTGCTGAAACAAATGGGACATCTGGAGGTTTGCATTCTAATTGATTGTTGCCTGTGGACGTCTGTGGTTGTCACTCTGCTCACTTCCTCTCCTCCTCTTCTTCCACCTCTCCCTCTTCTTCGTATGACCTTGGTCTATGTTCTGCTTACCTCGACCCACAAGTCTCCTCGTGTTCGCTGTCACCGTAGTGCCACACAGTGGTTTGGAAGGGAGACACGGGGGCCCTCAGTGTCCCCTTTGGAACCACCGGGACCGTCCTCTAGCATCGTTCTTATCCCCATTCCCCACCACTATTACCAATGACGCCAGTCACACACACTGGTGTTCCCAGCATCCAGCACTGTTCCCAGTACCTGTGGGGGTGGAGGGAGGGGAGAATATTGTAGTCACAGGATTTTACACCTCCACCGATCCTTAACACCTAAGCCCCCACGCATGCCCCGTGTGTGTGTGTGTGTGTGTGTGTGCTGTGCGTTCACTCCCCCCACAAAAAAAGAAAAAGAGGGCTTGACGGATTGTAGAGGAGGAACCAGTTTTATAACATTTGATGCTGTTCTCTTGGCTGTTTTCTAAACTAGGTGTCAATTCACAACAGGCTTCAGACGTACCAGCTCAGCAGCAGCATGGCTCGGAGCCCCGAGAGCGCGGCCCTTCTTAATCACCGGGGAGAGGTGCTTTTCCAGCAAGGGCCCCAGGGCGTAACCCAAGGGCCTGCGCCTCCACCACAACACCTGCAGCTGCAGTCAGCGGCAAGCACTCCCGCCCATCATCTCCCCCTCCAGCAGCACCACCAGCCCTGTGTCAGCATGGCTGACCTGCGGCCTGAGGCGCTCATCCAGTGTCAGCAAATTGTCAAGGTCATCATGCTCGACAACAGCAGCCATGGACGCATGGAGGCCTTCCTCAGCCAAACGCCCACACACCACCACTACCAGCATCACCATCACCACAGCCACCATCAACTTAGTCACTCCGCCATGTCCACCCCTGTCCGCTCGCCAGACGGTTCACACGGCAGCGACGGCCACCAGCCCCCACTGCCTCCCCCGCCTCCACCTTACAACCACCCGCACCAGTACATACCCCCAGACCCCCGCCTCAGTCTACACCGGACCCCAAGTGGCTCTCGGAGCATGGTGTAAATAAATGAATTCAAAGTTTTCTCCTTGAAAGACAGACACATACTTCCACATAAACCCTATCACTTCTCTTCCTATATAACAGTACATATTGTACATATATACATACAGATGAAGCTATAATGAAAAAAATAAAAATCCCACTTATATGCATAAATTTAAGAAAAAAAAGATTAAAAAAAATATGGTTTTAAAAGAGATAAGAAGAAATATAGTGCGTATATAAAGTTTTACTTGATTCCACATGTATTTTGAAATATGTAGTTTTAACAAATTTCTATAACTTTTTGTCAGTTTTAACTCTAGAGAAAACTCACTGCTATTCACTTCATGGATGGATTCCTTCCACTTCCAGTATTTATCAGCAACAACAGAAACACACGAATCCCTCAAATCTTTTGAATTTTTCTTGTAATGGATGGAAAGACATCAAGGATCTTCTGCTTCTGTTCGCTTTATCATCCCAAGCCTCATGCCTACTGTGCTGTATGTGCACACGTGCGCATAGCTGACACTTAACTGAAACTCTGTGCCAAAATACATATGCCTCCACTAAACACTGACTTCTTTGCACTTGACTAAATGCTAGGGCTAGAAGAAAAAAAAACACTACTCCTTTGCTTTGAGAAAATAGTCATTTCAGGCTTCTTGTTCAAGGAGCAAAAAAAAAGAAAAAAAAAGAATAGCAAAACTGATATTTCATAAAAAGTTATCTACCCATTTGCGCTGTTGCTTATTTATTTATGTGATGGAGGGCCTTCTCTCTTCTCCAATCCCCCGGATTTAAAAAAAAAAAAAAAAGAAACAAAAATGACATTCTCCCGATAAGCTGTCTTTGTCATCCGCTCCTCCGTTGTGTTGTGGCTCTCTATCTTCAGAAAACACTCTCACCCAATTGTTGCTCTCCATAGATCATTCTACAGTGAAGGATGACAAGAACCAAAGGCGACCAATCATATAGATTGCTGCCGAGCCAAAAAAGTTAGCCCAGGATGCTTCTGTTGATTGATGCTTGTCTCTTACTCTTCATGTCTAACATTATTAAGGCTTTCCAGGAATTCTTGCCCCTTTTGTCAGCTGTTGGAGGGAAGGTTTTGTCTTGTTTTTCAACATTTTGAAAATGTCTCATCGTCTGAAATGGCTCTAAAGCTACAGTGGGTTCAGATGTTAAAAAAAACAGAAAAAAACAACACCATGTGCTGTCATCGGTTATCAAATGTGTCGTCGCTATATGTTTTTTTGTTCCAGGAACTCACCCGAGAATTTCTGTTAGGACGCTACACTTTTTAAATGTCGAGATGTGTGTTTATTTTAATTTGCCATTGTGCCATCATTGTGTGTTTTCCGTTGGTGGATAAATGTCGGGCAGAGTCCACCCACAAAACATCCAGACGCTGTCTCTTTACGTCGGTACGACTGCCAGCTTTTGTTCCAGATCCTTGTGACTGTTTTCTCTGCCGTGCTAACCTTTCATTTTGACATTTTCAAAAAGGCAAAAACTACATGGAGCTTATACTGCAAAAGCTGGCATTAGTGGCATTGTTTGTGCTGTTGGCTATCCTGCTTTAAATAAGAATGGAAGGGAGGGGAGAGAGAAAAAAGAATGCATTATCTGATCTCTTTCTATTTCACCTCAGCTTAGATTGTAAATACCACATTCAAAGAGTCAGAAAGGACAAGCAAGCTACCTTTAGCCTCTTCAAATTGCTATCGCCCTGTCACGCATCTGTCATTCTGAAATAGGTCAGCGACCGCCATAGCCTGAATGCGTTCATCTTTTATACATAACCCCCACCAGGTACTCTGAAATGGATGTTCAGTTAACTCTGTTCTCATCTGACCTCCATCTGTGGGATTTGTTGGTTTATAATCACAGAGCCAATGCGGGGAGGTCTCTATCTCATCTGTCTGTCCTGTTCCACTTAGGATGTCACCCTGTGAAAAGACAGCAGTTGGACAAAAAAACAAACAAACAAACAAACAAAAAAGCTTTCTGTTGTTGTGGTTGGCAGAGATGAGTGTGTGTGACCTACTCACAGTAGCATCCTAGCTTTCCTGTAAACAAATCCGTCCTCGCTCCTGTTTATCCCCATAATTGCTTTTGTTATTATTTCATAACACAATGGGAGGAATTACAGCTTTCAAAATGAATCAAGAGCTGCGATGATTCATTTAACACATTTACTGGCTACATTGTAGAAATGAACTTTTGAAGGTTATGTAATAAAATTTAGAAACTATTCTACTATTATGAATTTTACCTTGATTGATGATGATTGTACGGTTGCTGATTTATTTGTTTGAATCAGCTTTCAGAAATTACATGATTGATTTTTTTTTCTTCTCATGCATGTAGTTCCAAAGCTTATTGAACCCTTACTCCCAAAAATATGGAATTTGTGTATGAAAGACTTTGCTGTGGGAGGTCAATTTTTTTTTGTCATGATGAAAATGAAAGCTTGTGGAAGAATTTAAAAAACAGACATGGATTTTTATTCTTTTTTTTTTTTTTACGATGACAAACACCCCTTCAAATACAAATACAAATGGCTTCTTTGGGCAAATGTGTTTTTGTGCCTCGAGGCAAATCAAATGCCTCTTTCATGGCCATTTTTGCTTGTTTTGTCTTATTTCTATGTATGTTATGACCCTTTCTTTATGGTTGCACATTTTAGTCGAAAGATATGCTGCGTGTGCAAGAAACATGAATATGAGGCGCACTGAAAATGACAGATTTACATTTGCAGGGAAACTAATGTAGCATTTGGGGAGTGTAGCAGATGATATGGAAGTGCAGTAGTGGGTACCTTTCATGAAGAAACTCACAAAAGGGCTCTGCCATACCAGTACATTGCTTCATGAATGACATGTGAATCTTGTCTGGCTTTTCACCACTGTGTTTGCTCATACTAGTAAAAGAAATACAAATAGAGGAAATATTTATGGATAGACAGGTGGAAACTGAGTGCAACATGAACCATCATCTCCCTCAGTTGGCTTTAAAAACCCTCCCTGTCTTTGCGGTATATTAACATGCAATTAAAGATGATTTAAGTCTATACATCACAATGGTTTGCTTTGTTATTGGATTCAGTGGCAAGATCAGTATACTCTGAATTGCTGGGAAAATGCTTATTTTGAAATGTTACACATCACTCAACACAGCATTTTACCTTCACACACTATAAACCCGCACACATAGTTTTCCTCCTACTTTGAGTTTTATGAAAAGTAATACAATAGCTAAAGAATACATGGAACAATGAATCATAACACTACTTTTATGTGAGGTGTTTGCTTCTAGTAGTAAATCCACATACTGTAAGTTTGACTTCAGTTTTATGACACCATGTGGAACTTATCTTTATTAGTGAGTCTTATTGTTTTCAGTAGCAAGCAGGTGTTTTCTCTGAAAAAGTAAACTACCTGCCAAGGAAGAGATAGTGAATAGAACAGTGGTTGATATCACAGTGTGAAAACAGCAGCAAAATAGCAAGATGTGTACATTGATTATGGGGGAGAGCAAAAGAGAGCCAACAGGAGTCACCTGGTTTGTCAAACTTGCAACTACGCTCAACATGAGTGGGAGTGGGTAAGAATACCTCATTGTTTTTATACACCAAGAGACAGCAAAAGAAGACATTTTTATCATTATAAATTATTCTGTCCATGCATGGAAATGAAGCAAATAAAGCAATGCTGTACTGTAAGTAACACCAGAAATCATGACTGGTGCCAGTGCTGGAGGTATTGCATCGTAGCACCTTCCTTAGTGTCACAGTGTAAAGAACTTTCAGGAATTCCTTAGCTGGGCAATACCGCAGCACATTGAACCTGCCGATGTGTAGCAAAGAATTTCTATTTGCATTTTCTCATTTCTATTTCAGAACACGAATCCGTGCAGGAGACAAAAGTAAAACACTGAAAAGGTGAGCTGGTCTTTTGTTTTGAATTAATGCCATGTTAAAAAGACACGTTGGTGACATTTTTAGAAAAAAGTCATTTTAGGAGAAAAGGCAAATATAGTTGTAGTTACCTTCATAAAGTGATCAGAAGTTTACATATACTCCTCACAAGCATGGATGCCATGGTAATATGGGGCTCATACAGCATATTTAATGTTCTTGAAAATAAAAGCTCTGTGCACAAATTTACATTTATTTTAGATTTTCTCTAAATCCGCTACCCTTTCACACTGCATGCTTTGGTAACCATCAACAAGCTATTTGACCAGTCATTTTGGTAAAATTGGTAGAGTTCATTTAAATGGATTCATTTCCTGGTACGAACCGTGCTTTTAAGCATAGTACAAACATTTTCAATAGAGTTGATGTTGGGGAATTGGAAAAGCCATTCCAGAATTTTGTCCTTGGTTGGTCAATTCTATGATTGTTATCAAGGAAAGCATTTTTATTTAGGCAAAATTGAGAGATAAGAAGATAAAAGCTATACACCCTGGAAATAAAGTTAAATTACAATAACACTGATGACTGTGAGGAGTATATGTAAAGTTCTGACCACAGCTGTATATTCTGAAGTTACTGTCTTCTAACTAGCTGATGAGAAATGAAGAATTGACATCCCAAGTGCCAGTGGTATACATTTTATTAACATGAACACTGAAGCAATATCAGGGTATATCTTTAATACAGATCATAAAGTTGCAGTCCAAAGAAAACCTTGCTTCACTATATTCAGTAATTTTAAGTTTTACAAACATACTTAAGCATTAGGTGGTTTTTTTTTATGTATTGATAAAATTAAGCTTAATGAAGCTTTTAAAAACCAAACACAATTTTGGAGATGAAAAAAGTGTCTTCTTTTACTTTTCTTTTTTAAGATGCTTGGTTTTCACATTCACCTTATAAAACAGAGTTTGAAAACATTTATCATGAAAAGTTTCATAGTTTAAAAATACACTTAATACAAACATAGACTGTTTATAAAATATGGATGTATCCAACCCACTAGTTTATTGACTTCCGCCTCTGCATTTTTGACATCACCCTATTTTACCATCTGTTTTACTCTAAATTTGACCACTATATACAAAATAAACACTATCTTGTATTAAGCAAGACTAGTGGTTAAAACCATAAACCCATTAGTAAAGTGTTTACTTGAATAACAGGGTAATGTTATAATAAAGATTAAACAATCAAACTTCTTCTGGCAACCAGAGTACTCGCCCCCTGCTGGTCAGGTGAATGAATTTAAGTTTAAGGCACTTCCACATTGGCTTCACTTCTCAGTTCCTGGACCTACATCCACGTTTTATAGACAGTGCATAAATATAACAAAACAATTCTATTTACAGTTCTCTAATATTTTAATCAAACTCTTCAATATACATACTTAACTTCAATATACACAATTAAAAACTAAAAACAGGTATTTCAAAACTGTGTTAACTGAAAAACAGCATATGGTAAATAACATGTGTAGATTTCCTTATTTTTTGTAAAGATTATCGTGAGAAATATTACTTTTCATTTTAGGTCTTGGTCAGATAAATGTGACCTACAGACAACTGAAGCGATACTGTGTTGCTGAGAATAACTACGTCACAGTAACTGGTTGATTCTTTAAATGAAATATTGGGGTTCCCCATTAATAGAGTTTTATACTTGAAATCGAGTTTTACCAGACAGTTCCATTTCGCAGTACAACAATATCCATTAAATTTGCAGTAACGTTATAAACAAAGGCCTTCATTGTGCTGCAATTTATGAAGAGCATGTGGATTTACATTCATGATGGTTTATTGTACATATAGCCTTTGTATACAGGTTTATTGTGACCTGTATCATTCACTTGCTTGCCATAACTTTTACTGAAAAGGAAACAATATCTATAGCAAAAATACTTATTCATCTTCTTTATTTACTTCAACTCAAGTTGAAGGACGGTTAGACAGTGTAGTCCAGAGACAATACTGCATCCATCCATCCATCCATCCATCCATCAAATTGTTAACTTCCAATATTAACTACATTAAGTCCTGGCAGACAGATTTATTTAGCTTGAACAATCAGGTTTAGACAGGTGCTTCACCCACGCTGTCTGTGTGTGTGAATTCATCCTGCCCTGATCGCCTTTCATCCTCCTGGGCAGTTGTCATCCTCCGCCAACGCTGGACATGTAAAAAAAAAAATCTATTACATCACAATATGATTAAATGATTATGATTTGAACCCGGGTGAGAGTATTGGGTGAAATTGTACTCACATTCACACATGAATAATGTAAAAAGTTAACAAAATATGCTCTTTAGCCCGAAGTTACAAATATCTCACAGGAATCAGCAGCGGAGACGTAAAGCTGCTTTGTAAATATTTACTGTCACAAGCAGTGCACGTCTTCGAAAATATACTTTCCTGCCTAAAACCAGAATAATAATGTCGGCCTTGAGCAAAAACCAGGAATTCTGTACTTCCTGAATAACTACAGTCTTTATAAGAGATGAACTTCAGCCTTCCAGGACTTTTTCCATTTTTAATCTCATGTGTTACCTGTATATTCTCTTTTCAACACTTTATTGCATAATTTTCTTGAGCCTGAGATGATTAAAATCAGAATCTGAGAGAGGTGTGTAAGATGTTTGTACCTGTTTGATGCTGCCTTTGGTGCTGCAGAACATGTAGATAATATAGCCTGGGATGAGTACCATGGAGGACATTGCCATGAGCCAGCCAATCGCTTGGCCCCACAGGGGGTACACATACTTCCCCAAGGTGAGAGGAGTCATCTCAATGGCACTAAAGGTAAACACTCCCTACAAAATAAAATTATAATATTCATATATCAATATACTCCAGTGCAGTAATTATTCATAACCTGAGGGTCTAGATAAGCCAGGAAACTTGTGCTTAGCAGTTTTGTCCAAAAGTCTTGAGCCAAGACTTTGCTAGGAAAATGGGAGATGGTTGCAGGAGTTTATTCAACATGTGCAAACATACATAGATATACAGCAAATAAGGTTAAAAAAAATAGTCTAACGAAGTAAAGGTAAGTATTTGGTGACTTTCTTCGAATTTCTTTAAGTAGTCTTCAGAATTAGTTCTCAAGGACATTCAAAGCTCTTCTTTGGATGTTGGATGCCTTTTGTTTCGCTCCATGTCAGGTGTAACTTTATTTTTTAATGAGTCAGTGTTAAATGTCTTAACAAGCAACAACAAAACCTGAATTCCTCTGAAAATGATCAGGTAGAAGGACTGAACTGAAAAAGAGTGAAAATTAAAGCCAAAATCCAAAACAGATGTTCAGAAAACATGGCTGCGCAACGGAAGCAAATATATGTAAGAAAAACAAACAAACATTTTTTTTATATACAAGTTTAAATTTTGGGATTAAACTTGAAATACTTTCAGAAGTGACACTAAGGTCTCCTTAGATGTGAAATATATAGAAACAAGTATTGACTTAAGATTTTTGCACATACTGTAGATTGATGGGGTTTTGCATCATTAGACTTAGCCATGCTTTGAGCAAAATACTACTAATAGCATGCTAACCCACACAAAAATACCTGCTGAAATACCTCTGTTCACCAAGTACAATGTGTACTTTATTGACTTGCGTGAGTTAGCATGCTAACAGTCCAGTCAAGGTTAATTGTCATTAGCTTTTCTTTTAGACCACATGGGACAACAGACAAACTATCCAACAGTGTTCCTGGTTAAAATAACATTCTGCTTAGTCTTAGACAATCAGATTATCAAAGCATTGTCTGTTCTTTTTCAATACAGGACTAACTTTGCAAGATTTCCCAAAGGACCTGACCGTCCATGAGGTCAAATACAAATTAGAATACAAATTAGATCAATTCTCTACCTAAGGCTAGTGCTTTAGCTTGATGGATCCCTAGATTTCCTTACAGAAGAACAAAGCCTGACTGAAAATTACAAATTGAAAGAATCAAGCACCTCTAGGTGAAGGTCATAGAGGTCAAATCCATAATCAGTTTTCTCCTACCAAGCAAATTAGAGGTGTGAAGATCATCCAGCAAAGCTTCCACCACCCACATGGCCGATAGCCAATCATGTCCTCGATGTTCTTATAAAATCTTTCAGCTCCTGTGGCATAAAGAGAGGAGGGCAAAGGGAGTGTTGGTGTTAATGAGGAGAGAGCGACTGCCAGAACAAAGCCATAATGGTGGGGGTGGGAAAGGGAAGCCAAGATGGCAGAGATTTATAGATGTAATTTCCTGTTGAACAGCTAAGTAGGAAATTTAAATGCTGGAGTCATTGTTACATTTCGTCCAGAATGACTCAAATTTTTACCAATGTGGTTACATTTAATTTCAAGTTGCAATATTTGCTTTAATTCTTCTTTTTTTTAATGAAAAGAAAATGGATTTCCTACCATAAAACCAGGATATGGAAATGGTTTCAAAGAAGACGAGGAAGAGCAGACACATCCCACTGGCGGAGTAGTAATCAAACATCTTGAACACATAGAGACCACCCTAGGAGATTTCAACACACATACAGGAACACGCATAACTACTTTAGAGACCAAATATTACCATCCCTCTCTTCATTAAATAAAATATGCATGATGAGAGTACACCGCAGGTTGTTGTGAGATCGTTTTGTCATTATGCATAATGCAAGAGCTCTTTTCCCTTGTGTCGGAAAAATGCGCAAGAGTTCACACGAGCTGGGTTTCAAGACCGTCCTCTTATAATATTAAACAGGTTTGCACGCATTCTTTGGATGGTTAAAACCCTCTTTACTTTGTTCATTTTATAGTGACCTAATGCAGAGTTTGTGCAGCACCTGCGTGATGTTAGAGAAGCCGATGATGAAGGAGACGAGGCAGACAATGAGGATGAAGACCTTCTTCCTCTTTCGCAAAACCATGGGATATTCATCCATCAGAGCTGTGATGAAGCCCTCTACTGTGCAGAACTAAAACACGATGACGTGAAGAATGTGGTTTGTTATTAAAAGAGAGCACCAGTATCTTAGTTTAGTTCATCTATAAACTTATAGCAATCACCAATTAATCAGTTGTAATATCTCTATTACAACATCTGGATGGATGGTACCTGACTGTCCAGGCCCAACATCATGAGCATGGAGAAAAACAGGATGGCCCATAGCGAGGACATGGGAAGCTGTGTGACTGCCTGAGGATACGCTAAAAATGCCAGCCCTGGGCCTAAAAATTGCAAACAAGACAAGTTATTAAAATGATAAATGCTTTAACTTATAACATTATATGAATTACTATATTAGATACACATTGTTAATACCTAGTTTGACCTCTTTTTGCCTTTAGAATTACTTTAATCCTTCCTGGCATAGATTCAATAAGGTTCTGGAAACATCCTCACAGATTTTGGTCCTTACTGACTTGATTGCATCAGACAGTTGGTGCAGATTTGTTGATTGCACCAACTTGGACCAATCAACTGGATTGAAATCTGGTAACTACGGAGGCCATTTGAGATGGTGATTCAAACTTCATAACATGGCACATAATCCTGTTGCAAGCAGCCATCAGAAGATGGCTGAGGTCATAAATAGATGGAAATGGTCAGAAACAGTACTCAGGAAGGCTGTGCCGTTTAAACATGCTCAGCTGGTACTAAGGTGTTACTAAGAGACCTAATGTGTGCCAAGAAAATATTACAAAATAGCCTTTATCTGGAACTGTTGATGCAAAGCACGATGAATCTGTGCTTTCATGTTGTTTATGCTAAATTCTGACCCTACCATCTCATTATTGAGAATAATTATTTTAAACCTGCACATAGTAGCAATTCGTGCTTAATTTAGTAAAACCACATCAAATATTTTTCTCTCTTTGACCACCGATGGCCTGTGTCTGTATGCAATATTATATTATTATTTTTTAAATGTTTTTTAGTTTCAAACTTCATATTGCTTCTAATATGTACATTAAAATATTTAATCCAGAAGTAATCAAATCTGAATAATGAACAATTTCTTATAAGTTATAAAATATGACTTTCACCTGATGCTGCCAGTTCGTGCACGGGTTTCTTCGTGATGTAGGACATGAAGCCTACGATGGAGAAGATGACAAATCCAGCAAACATGCTGGTGCAAGAGTTGATGCAACATACTATGACTGCATCCCTAAAAAGAAAACATCAGTCAGAGAACAAAAGAGCATCATTGTTTGTGCATCATCTACAAAAGAGGATTCTACAACACTTTGGATTTCCTGCTCCTACTTGTAGACATCGTTGTTGTAAGAGTTGTAGCTTCCCAATGCGATGAGCGATCCCAGGCCCAGTCCGTATGAAAAGAAGATTTGAGTTGCTGCATCCAGCCACACCTGTGAGACAACATAGTGTAATTACTGGTGTTTGTTTGTTAAGACGCGTGGGTGATTAAATGTGGATTTGTGCAAACTATGAACCTCAGATCGGACGAGCTTATTGAAGTCTGGAGTAATGTAGAAGAGAATCCCATCTATGGCTCCAGGGAGTGTGACCCCCCTGAAGAACAGGATGAACAGCATGAAGTAGGGATAGGTAGCTGAGAAATACACTACCTGAAAGACAGAATGATTTGTTTTTAATTATTTAGATGAATGAGAATTAAAAATGTTGAAAAGTCAAAAACATTTTATAGGACTGAGTATGCTGTTTGCATATTTTTAAATACATTTCTGTTAAGATAATGAGATGGCTTTGCTTTTCAAATTCTTAAAATTGCAAACATGCTATTTGCTCTAAATAATTACATCAAAAGAGATGCAAAACAGTGTACAGAAAAGGGAACTACTGAAATATTTCCATAGTCTCTCTTTGCCAAAAGATCTGTAGGATGTGTCCCATAGTTCTTGTGCATGATGATTATCCTTAATTGGTAATGTCCATCAAGGCCAGGGCCTTTGGGGAATTCATTTTTCTCACTGCTCTCAGATGCCGCACATTAAAATCCAATTATCCCTGGCGGTGAATGTGTAAATGTGTTTCTGCTCATATACTTTGCTTGCTGTAATTTGAAATCCCAGGCAGTAGGCAAAGTGAAGATTTTTCTATCACCTCTAAATTGTCCAGCAGTAGTCAAATCTTGCATTTTGAAGCTATTTCTATTTCAATTTGAATAAAATGGTAAAAGAGAGATTGGATGTGCACAGAAAAATGACAGCGGATGCAAACATCTGAAACTGGAAAAAAAAATACTGTCTCTCGGTTCTTAGGTTTAAGATATCAGGACATCCTAAACAATGATCTGGTTCTTAGCAGGTTCTGTATTAAATGCAATGTTGGATGAATAACAACAAATGACTTTGTCATTATTTATTTAACAAAAACTAAACCAAAATGCAGAAGCAGTGTGTGAAAAACAGTGCACCCAGTGATTCAGTAGCTTATAGAGCCATCTTTAGCAGAAATAACTTTAAGTGATGGTTTTCTGTATGACTTTTCAGTCTCTCAGATCATTGTGAAGGAATTTTCTCCCAGCTCTCTTAAAGTCTCTTCAATCAGGTTGAAGTCTGGACTTTGACTTGGGCACTGAATTACCTTGATTTTTTTTACATCAAACATTCTGTTGTAAATATGCTGCTGTGCTCGGGATCAAGTACTCCATTTTCGACTAACCTTTAGCTATCATATGGTTTTGCATTTGATGCTAGAATATTTTGCTATACAAATGAGTTCAGGGTCAACTCAAAATGTGGCTGCAACCTTCCACTACTGTCCTCGACAGTTGGTATGAGGTGTTTGTGCTGATATGCTTGTTTGGTTTTTGCCAAGCATGGCACTGGGTATTGTGGCCAAACATCTCCACACTGGTCTCATCTGTTCCAGAAATCCTGTAGTTTGTTTAGATGTAACTAAGCCGTACTACCATAACTCTTTCAGTCATTTATTCTAATTGTACTGTTATGAATTTTAACATTTAAAATGTTAACTAAGGCTAAGATGTACCTCTTGGTTTTTTATGCAGTTGGTCTGCAATTGCACCATCTGACCTTGGGTTGAATTTGCTAGGTCCACTCCTGGGAAGACTGGCAACTGTCTTGAATGTTTTGCTCTCATGAACAAACATGCACAAAGTTGCTGATGATTAATCAGTTGAATGTGATTAGCAGCACCTGGCTTCTACTTACCCTCTTAATTCCCATGGAGAGAGTGAGTGAGGGTGCACTTTTTCACACACAGCTTCTGCATCATTATATAATATAAAATAAAAATGGCATAAATAATGACACTTTGTAATATATGCAGCATAGTTGTTCCTTTTACGTTTTATTTAAATAATTTTATGATCTGCCACAGACCAGGTTAGCTTTTATATTCAGATACATAAAACCTTAGTAATGAAAGAGGGTGCACTCAAACAGAGAGATGATTTAAGAGAAGAGTCAGGAAATCATGAAAGATTTAAATACATTTAAACAAAAACTGAAAATTAAACATAATTTTCAGCTGATCGGTGCTTCAGTCAGATAAGAAAAAAATGAAGATTTGTTTTTATTTTTATGCCACTGTTTGCATCTGACTCTCAAATATGCTGAACGTACCAACTTTATAGCCTGCTGCAGCTAGTAGTCCTAAAAAAATACAAATGTTCAACTTTTAATATCTCTGAATTCATGTTTTCTTTTATTAGGTTTCACCCACTAACTCGGGCAACAACAACAACATGAGGTTTATATCATGAAAAGCTCAACGTCTGGTCATGTTTTCATGATTAAAGCTTTAATATTAAGGGAGTGGGAGGCAGAAAGAGGTGCTAATAAAAATACTGGCCAGTGTAAACCGAGTGGTCTGAGACTGATGAAAACACAAAGCCTAAACAACACAGAAGAAGAGAATTAACAGAAACCGGGGCAGAGAGACTCACCTTTCCCGTCCATTCAACTCCTTTCCAGATTGAGAAGTAGACAAGAACCCACGCCAGCCCAAGAGTGCCCACTAAGGGCCAGCGTAGCTCTCCTGGTTCCTCCAGGCCATTAGACAGCTGGTGCATGTTACGCCTACAGAAACACACACAGGCATTCTTTGAATCCAGACTGAGATAAGCACCAAGAGCTTCCAGATATACCTCTCTATACATTCTCGTGCAGAATATCTCATATTAACTTACTCCCAAAACTCGGTGACAGCGCTGGTCAAGTTGGTGGTGTCTGTCAGACTGTAGTTGGAAAAACATTTTTCCGTGTTCCAGGCGTTATCACAGCTTTGCCAAGGCAGCTCCTGCATACACACCATACAGTATGCATGAACAAAAACAGGTTCTAGGAGGACAAATCATCAAAACTGCAAACGCACTGTTGCAAAATATATTACCTGTATCCCAATACAAAAAACCATCAGAGTTAACACAAAACTTTGTAAATTTAAAAAAAAAACATGTCTCCTGGAGACACAGACAGCACCACAAAGACTTTCCCAAACAAAAGAAACAAAGACAGAGACAGAAAGGCAAACCACCCAACAGTGAAAATGACATTTAATGAACTCAGTCTGTTTTTGACCTTCAGCTAAAAACACTGAACAACAATGACAACCCTTTTTTTCCTGCTTCGTAGTTTTCCCAGTACAAGAAACTCATGCCTGCAAAGTCTTTACATTTCTGCCATCGGGCTTCTTAAAGGCAGCCAGTCATGCAGAGAAATACCAAAGCAGAATGATAATGCAGAGAAAGAAAACCATTGCACACTGAGAAAGATGGTAAACAAATCCTAAATAACCTTACTTATGGACGAGGTGGCAAAAGTATGTCTGGAAAATGGGATAAAAGAAAACTGAGTCCAACATACTATAAGATTAGTATAAATTAGCAGGTTTTATATTGGACCTACATCAACTTTTAAAATAAATCGAGGAAGAGGTGTCAAATATACGGCCCGGGGGCAAGAATTGGCCTGGTAAAGACTCCTGTCTGGCCCACGGGATGGCTCTGGAAAATGTGAAACAGGTTATAAACTTATAAAAAAAAAAATATTTTTTTACTTTTTCTTATTTTAGTAAGTTATACAGCTTTTTCTGCTGATGAAGACCAACAACCCTAATTCCAAAAGAGCTGGGGGACTGTGTAAAATGTAACTAAAACAGAAATAAAATCTCGTAAATCATATTTTGTTGGGTTTTTTTGCTCATCGTTATGGGAGTTTATGTTGTAATGTAACCTGCATATATCCTTTAGCACTGACAGTGCCTTTGTAGCAAGCTCCCTATTCCTAATTGGCTTTGGCAATATCAGCCCAGTCCAAAAGCCCGGCAAGATGCATGCTTAGGAACTGAGTGCTAATAACAAGCCAGATGGTCCCTCTACTCGTTAGTGCAGAGGATGTTGCGTCTATGACATAATGATGCCGGTTTTTAATGCTGTGATTCCTGAAGGCACAAAGCTAACATGTACTCATGCTGTTTTCTGATCTTATCTCTTGCACACAGAGACTTCTCCAGATTCTGTGAATCTTTTGATGATATTATGGACTATAGAAATGGTAAATGGCCTGCATTTGTATAGCGCTTTACTCAGTTCCTAAGGACCCCAAAGCGCTTTACACTACATTCAGTCATTCAATCATTCACACACTGGCAATGGCAAGCTACATTGTAGCCACAGCTGCCCTGGGGCGCACTGACAGAGGCGAGGCTGCCGGACACTGGTGCCACCGGGCCCTCTGACCACCACCAGTAGGCAAACATGGGGTTAGTATTTTACCCAAGGATATTTGGGATCAAACCACCGACCTTCTAATTAGTGGCTGACCTGCTCTGCCACCTGAGCTACAGCCACCCCCCTCATAGACAATGAGATATTCAAAGTCTTGACTGTTTTATATTGAGGAATTTTGTTCTAAAATTGTTCCAAAATTTGTAGACTGTGCTCACTTGATACCAAATAGACAAAGTCAATGACAAAGATAGTTCTTGAAGACTAAACTAAGTTGCTTGAGACCAGAATATGAGATAACAGAGATTAGTACTCATGGCCAGAAACTAATGAAGTTGCTACATAAATGCTGGATTCAAAGACAAGCACAGGTTGACTCAACTTAGCGTGTATGACAGTGTTTACAACTTCTTTTCTGTGTTGCAGGTTTGCTACTGATTATGTAACATACCGAACCAAAAGAGTTGAATAAGTAGTAGAGCGCCCAAGCAATGATGATAATGTAGTAGATGTTGAGCCAGAAGGACAAAACAACTGCAGCCAGACCAACTCCTGAAGCGAGAACAAGTGTCAGTGTTGCACAATGTTTTACAGGTCAGCTAACATGTAAGGTTGCATGTAATGAAAAGAAAGAAAGAGGGGAAAGATACACAAGTTACTAACTAATTTAAAAAATGATGTTGCGTGACAGAGAAAAACTAACATGGTCATCATCATCTTTATTATTGGCAGAGTTGTCATTGTGCTGTTTCTAATGCTCAGTTGCTTTTGGCTTTGCATCACGCTCACTGGCATTGTTGCTGTCTCTGCTGCCTGAGACAGCAGAGACAGCTGCCTGAGGATCTGCAATGAAGTGCTTCACTCGAGTTATTTCAGTGTCGGGGCAATGGTGTTATTGCTATCCCATAACAGGAGAGCATTTAGCAAGATGTCAAAAATAATT